TCACCGACCATCTCGCCTTGAAGTGGTTAAACTCGATCAATAATCCAACCGGTCGCATCGCCCGTTGGGCGCTGGAACTCCAACAGTATCGCTTTGACGTGCTTTACCGACGCGGAAGCCAAAACATAGCAGGCGCTCTTTCCCGGCAACCTATCGACACCATACAGCGAGCCCTAGAAGACCTGCCCACCTGCCCCTGGATACAAAGGTTGCTCAAACGTATCCAGTCACGACCAGAGGAATGCAGAGAATTTATAATCGAGAACGGACAGATCTACCGGCAGCCTGGGCACCGACCGATCGAGGAAGAATCTCACCAGTGGAAGTTATGCGTCACCAGTGGCCATCGTAGACGAGTGTTAGAAGAATGCCACGATCACCCGACCGCCGGACACCTAGGAATACGGAAGACTACCACTCGGGTAACCCAACGATATTACTGGCCAGGACTCTACAGAGACGTGGCCCGATACGTGAAACATTGCGAAAGCTGCCAAAAATTCAAGGTGAGCCAGAACAAACCCGCAGGTCACATGTATACGCGACAGGCGAAGGGCCCGTTCGACATCCTTTGCGCGGACTTCGTAGGCCCACTACCCCGCTCAAAGCACGGCAACACGATGCTCCTCGTGTTCTTCGACTCATTCAGCAAATGGGTAGAACTTGTGCCACTCCGGAAAGCCACAACCGCCCACTTGGAGAAGGCGTTCCGAGAGAGGATACTCTGCCGATTCGGGGTCCCGTGGAAGTTTGTGTGCGACAACGGGACACAATTCACTAGTCCGTCCTTCCGGAAATTTTGCGAGGTGGCAGGAATGGAACTCGAGCACACCGCGCCGTATTAGCCTCAGCAAAACCCGACGGAGAGGGCAAACCGGACCATCAAGACAATGATTGCACAATACGTCGACGGGGACCAACGGACCTGGGACGATCTCCTCCCCGAATTAAGCTTGGCCATAAACAGCAGCACGTCGGACACCACGGGCTTCAGCCCGGCCTTTTTGGTACTCGGACGAGAACCAAGGCTACCATGAGCCTTGTACGACGAAGTGACCCCAGGATTAGGAAATGAACCAGAGCCTGCCCACGAGAAGGCGACACGACTGCAGGAAGTGTTCAAGGTCGTGCAGGAGAACACCCAACGAGCATCTCAAGAGCAGAAGAGAACATACGACCTCCGACGACGCGAGTGGCGACCCGAACTAGGAACCCTAGTCCTCCTTCGGCAGCATCACTTATCCAAAGCCGCCGACGGTTTCGCCGCAAAATTGGCCCCTAAGTACGACGGGCCGTACAAGGTAACCCGATTCTTATCTCCCAACGTAGTTCGACTACAGATTCAACGAGGCAAACAAAGGAAAACAGCGAGTTTAGCTGATTTAAAGGCGTTCCACGCAGTGGACCCCCCTGAGGAGAACCCGACGACGCTGGAGAGACCCGAATGACCTGCCGACTTCGTAAGCTACGTATACATCCCCTTATGGGATTAGATAAGTACTATGTAAACATCTTCTTACTCGCGCCGCTCAAGCAGGACAGGGGGAGGGTATTAATACTTCTAGTTAAGACAGGCAGGTTCTAACCGACAGGCATTTTCTCCCTAGAATCGACTGAAGACATGAAGCGCCTAAGAGACGGAAGGCAAGCTCGGTCCCTAGGGGCAAATGGCTACGACGGGACACCCTAGCGGAGACCAGCAGCCTGAAGTCCCGGCACCTGCCGACGAACCAACGACAAACCGGGCTCGCGGCTGGATCGTCGACCCCAATAGGCCACCCGCCTCCGGTCAAGCCCAGCTGAGGCGGGTCGGAGAGGCGACACTTCGACAACCGGACAGGATGCCATGGGGGCAGCGCGCGGCAGCAGTGCCATTGGCATACCCACAGACCTGGACTAACCGCATCCGCAACAGCATAAGCATCATCATCAGCAGCAGCAGCAACAACAACAGCACATTAATCCCCATCCACTGCCCCATGCGCTGCCGCCGTACCTGGACTACGGCCACCCAAGCCATCCCAGTCATGGCCCGTATCCGTATATGGGCGTAGGCGGAAGGGGTGGTGTCATCTACGAGGGCGGGACCTTCCCTCGGAAGAAGGACTGCGCATACCGTCCAACCCGAGCGTCGCCAGCAAGAGCAGCAGCATGGTGAAGAACAGCTCGGGCTCCATCGACCATCACTATGTCACAAGCATGGCTCCGGCCTCGTCGGCCTCCTCCTCGGACCGGGCGCCCGTCTCTCTGATGAGCACGGCCATCCATGCCAGCTTCGGGGTGAGTGTGCCCGGAGGGGGAGCGGCGAACGGGGGAGCAGGTGGCGGCGGAAGTGGCTGTGGCTCGCCCATGCCTCAGGTGCACGTGGAGGTGCTCAGCCATGGGGCTGGAAGCGGCAGCAAACGAAGCTCCAATGTGCCTGCGGATTTTCTCTGCCCTGGAGTCCTTAGAAGAGTCACCATCGACAAGCACGACAAGTCGCTCGGTATCACCATTCAGTGCAACAACAACGGGGGCGGCATCTTCGTGTCGACCGTGGCTGACAAGAGTACCGCGATGCGTCATCAACTCTTGGAAGTGTGCGGCATCCATATGCGGGCGGCCACGCAGGAGATTGCGGCCAATGTGCTGCGGCAGTGCGGCGACTCCTTCACCATGCTTGTCCAGTACAATCCGGAGAGTAAGCAGATGGAGGCCGCAGTCTCAATCACACCCAACCTAATCCCAATCTCTCCCTTTGCAGAGTTCCCTTCGATGGAGTACGAGAAGGGAACGCACAATCTGGAACCAGAATCTCCCCTCAATCACTCGGACTCGCCCACGCCGCGAAACTCGCCGCGTCCACCGGCTCGCAATGTCCTGGCTCCGCTGCCCCTGCAGCCGCTCACCCTCCTGCCGTCGGCGGCGGTGTCGTCCACCGCTCTCCCACCAGTCCATCAAGGATCAAAGCTTCACCGACAGCCTGTAGAACCAGTCGGACATCAGCAGCAGCCAGGACATGCCCTCGTCGGCGGCCACCACAACGACGACCACAGCATCGGTCACCTCGACCGTCTACGATGAGGACCCCAAGCCGGCATTGCCGCCGCCTCCCTTCTCCGTTCCAGCAGAGAGTACGTACAGTCACTCCTATACCTGTTTGACTAACCCATCAGGAAGCGTTTTCGGCTGCAAAATGTGTCGGGTTTTCGTTATTATTTCTCGAAGCTTCACTAATTTCATCAGCCTTGAAAATGTCTGGAGCCTGGAGTTCCTTGGATTTTTGGCGATGTGGCGGTTCTCTCACTCGACTCTCAAACGCAACTTATATTCATTGGAAAGTCTTCTGTCATTGAGCTTCATGGTACTACGATCCTCCTTGAGTGAGTCTCACGTGCACAGCAATAGAATAGGCAAGGGACGAGAATAACGGACAGCCAAGAATAGGGGACGAGACACATAATAGTACGACTGGGAAATACACAGCTATTAGAAGGTTTCAGTTCCTGCACAGCCAACAAGTTCACTGAGTATTATAAGCTGACGATCCGACATGTTGTGCGTGGGAGGTTCAGGGAATCCAGAGTCTACTGTGAGATCTTCAAGATCTACAAATTAAAAACACCTAATCTTGCAGCTCTGCGGTACGTGACGCTGCACATGGACAAATCGAAGAACCTGGGCATCAAGCTGTTTGGCGGCAACAAGGTGGGCTTATATGTGCACGACGTGGCGCCCGGCTCGCCCTCGGACCATGCCGGCATACGCAAGGGCGATCAGATTCTCGAGTACAATGGCGTAGACCTGAGCGGAGTCACCGCCGAGCAGCCGGCCAACGAGATCTCCAAGATCACGGACACCGTCACCATGCTGGTGCAGAACAAGCTGCACAGTATGCACTCCTCCACTCAACTGTGTGACCCCCTTACTAACCCCCATTTTCTTATCCGCGCAGCACTTAAGCAAATAAAAGTCGAGCCGGGTGATTCGTTCTACATACGAGTAGGGTTTGATTGGATCGGAGAGCTGAACGAGGATGATTTGCGCTTTGTGAAGGATGAGGTGCTGTATGTGGACAATACGGTTTTCAATGGCACCTTTGGTCTGTGGTCTGAGAGCCTGGAAGCTGGACGCCATGGGTCATCGAAAGGAGTGCGGCATCATACCCAGTCAAATGAAGTACGTAGCCGATTATCGCTGATTAATATCTTCCATAACTATATGTATGCCATCGCTATTGTCTTGCAGGGTGGAAGATGTAGGCCTCACTAATTATTACCTTGCTACAAAGAGGAGCTGCTCTCGGGCGAGGTGGTCGACTGTGATACGGGTACCGCGCGACGCGGCAGCACCTCAGCTCGGCGTTCGTTTTTTCGTCACAAGAAGAACCAGCGCAGCTCGTCCCGTGACTCCACGGAGACTGCCAGCTTCAGCAATACGCAGCATTCCGGACCTAGGTCTGCTCAACGACGATGGCGGGGCCCTGAGCTATCAGCGTGTGGAGCTCTTGGACTATAAGTTGTCTTCCCACCTCTAAAAGGGGATCTAATATTGTCTTCATGTCACGTAGCGCACACACGTCGTCCTGTACCGATCATTGGACCGTTGTCCGAGTGCCTGATGGATCGCCTCACCATTGACTTTTCCAACTTGTTCAAACTGTGCGAGGTGACGGCCATGGACTGCTCGCAGGAGGCCATGGAGGAGGGAGAACATCAAGGAGAACATCTTCGTGGACTATCGCCGGCGGGGCAACAAGTTCGAGTGCACCACCGTAGAGGCCATCAGCAATGCCTGCAAGAATGTAAGTGGACCACCCATAATTTTTCGGTTAGCTTTTGTAATGCTAGAGTTCTTCCCTTAGGATCGACGTCACTGCATCCTGGATGTGTCGATCTCGGCCGTTGAGCGGCTGCAGATCTATCCGATTGTCCTTCTGCTGCGCTTCAAGTCCGCCAAGCAAATCCGCGATATCCGTGATTTTGGCACTGACAAAATCTCGGCCAAGGCGGTTAAGGAAAGTACGAGCGGGCCATGAAGCTAGAGACTGACTACAAGCAGTACATATCAGGTGGGATTCCAGTGTGTGTTCTTGCCTCCCCAACTTTGTGTGACTCTTGTTTGTTGTTGTTCCTTGCAGCCGTCATACCCGGCGTGAGCATCAAGCACATGTGCACTCAGATCAAGGATGCCGTCGACAAGGAGCAAGACAAGCTGCTCTGGGTGCCCGTCTCGAGTGGCTGATGCCAGCACGGATTTCACACATAGTTTCCTAGATTTAGTTTACGCTAAGTGCCCGAGCCTAGTATTTTGCAATGCGTATCAATATTATCAAGTTTGTATTCGTTTCGTTCAACGCAGAGTATTCTATGGGCGTCCGTCGACGCTGCTGCTGCAACTAATGCTGCAACTGTCGCTGTAGTGGCCGCTGGTGTCGTTGTGATTGCTGCTGGAGTGGCTGCTGCATTGGCTGTGGCTGTTGCCGTAGTGGCTGAGGCTGCTGCTGCCGTCGATGCTCCTGGACAGCGACCCTGTGGGCCAGGAGCCGCTGCCTGGCTGCCTTGTAGGCGCTGCAGACCTTGTAGGCGCTGATGTGGGCGCCCCGGCAGTTGGCGCATCTGGGAGCGACGTTCGGCTTGCTACACTCCGTCGTCAGGTGCCCACCCGCGCATTTCATGCAAACTGTAGCGCGACTACAATATGCGCGGGTGGGGCCAAACACCTGACATCGATGGCACTGGGCGGGGTCACGGGAGACTCCAGGCGTCGCAGCTTTAACACATCGTATTGGCCACAGTCCGGTTTGGGGGCGATCTCAGCCTCGAAGAGGTTGAATTGGCGGCTGCGATCAAATCGAAAGGTGATCACCCTTACAAACCGAACCGTGAACCCCTCGTTCAGCATACTGCTTCGAGTCCAGTCTGGCGGCGTGGAGTGGGAGAGTCCTCAGGTGAGGATCCTCAAGCCACGTTCCTGGCTGGGCTGATGCCCGAACTCGACGTGCCGGATGTCATCGTCGGTGGTAGTGGCAGGGGTGTTTGTAATGGTGATGGCGGTGGTGGTGTTTGTGTTGGTATTGGCAGGTGTATTTGTAATTGTATTTATATTGGCGTCATTATTTTTATTGCTATTGTCTGTATTGTCGGTATTGTCTGTGTGATTGGCTGCTGATTGTCTATGTATTGGCTGTTTTCGATGTTGGTGATGGCTGTGGGTCTGGCTTTTGGCATTTACAGTAGTGGCAGGAGCAGGGGCAGGGGCATGTGTTGGCTGTGTAGATTGTGGCAGGGTGGCAGGATCGGCAACTGTGTTGGTGTTGGCTGCCTTTGTTGTCCGTTCTGCTGCTTCTGCTGTTGCTGCCGCAGCTCGTGCTGCCTCAGCTGCTCCTGGACAATAACCTCCAGCTCCTCCAATGTCTGCCTTTTCTTTTTCGGCTTTTTAATTGGCGGCCGCTGCTGCTGTTGCTGTTGGCTTCTTTTTATACCCGATACTCAAAATGAGTATTGGGGTATATTAGATTTGTGGTAAAAGTGGATGTGTGTAACGTCCAGAAGGAATCGTTTCCGATCCTATAAAGTATATATATTCTTGATCAGCATCAATAGCCGAGTCGATTGAGCCCTGTCTGTCTGTCCGTCCGTCCGTCTGTCCGTCCCCTTCAGCGCCTAATGCTCAAAGACTATAAGAGCTAGAGCAACGATGTTTTGGATCCAGACTTCTGTGATATGTCACTGCTCCAAAAATATTTCAAAACTTTGCCCCGCCCACTTCCGCCCCCACAAAGGGCGAAAATCTGTGGCATCCACAATTTCGACGATACGAGAAAACTAAAAACGCAGAATCGTAGAAGATGACTATATCTTCTAGAGTGCAAAATCTGAACCAGATCGTATAATTATTACAGCCAGAATCACGAAAACAATTTCACTCTTTCTCGCTCTGTCTCACTCTAACACACAGGTTTCATGGTCGGTTTTGCCAATTGCAAAATATGAGTTCAAGGATCTCAGAACCTATAAAAGCCAGAGCAACCAAATTTGGTATCCACACTCCTGTGATATCGGACCTTGACCGTTTCCTGTCCAAATTTCGCCACACCCCCTTCCGCCACCGGAAGAGCCGTGAGAGCGGCGTCTTTTCTGCATTTCCCTTTGTGGTTGGCGCTTGCGGGATGGGGCTCGAGGGGGGAGAGGCTGTGGCCGTGGATACATCAGCGATGGCTCGGTACTCACGCTTGCTGTTATCATTGTATTGGCTGCAGCCGCCGTCGCTGTTGCGTCTGTTTGACCCCCCCTCTGGCCATTCCCTTCGACATGGTTGTTGTTAGTTTGTGTGTTGGCGATTTGCTGCCTGTTTGTTGTTTTTAATTGAAAAGTCTCTTGTGTGTGTGTGTTTGTGTTTAATGTATTTATTGGCACTTTCTAACTCTTTACACAGTTTTCTCTCGTTAGTTTGTTTTTTTTTTTTAAATGAATGTTATTTATTGGGCAGCAGAATGTTTGTCGGTAGTAGTAGTGGTGGTGGGGGGAAGGGACTTTTGTCATGTCAGGGGGGCACGGCACGGCACGGCACACGACAGAGAAATCTGCGTACCAGAAATTTCCATATATGGCGCCAGAATCGCAAAATCAGCTGTGCAACCCAACTGTTTTTATAGTAAAGCACGTGAAGGGAAAAAGTGCCAAATTAATAACCATTTTAGATCTCTCAAAAATTTAAAAACGCCAAGTCGTGATTAAATTTTTTTGATGAATCTTAACCTGTCGAGTTCTTACTACATGTTTTGAATTTTTAACTGTCTCTAGTAGTTGTGATGTCATCGTAATTGAAGGTTAAAGTGAGGCCTTTAACAGGTGCCAACTTGTAATGAAAACTAATTTTTGAAAAGGTGTACAAAGTGAGTCCTACCCAGTCCCACCCTGAAAGCTTTTGTGTGTCGTAGATTAATAAATTCTTTTTGAAATGTATATAGTTAGAAATGCCACTTTTTACCACAATTCTTGGAATTTGCATTAATAGAGCATAACCTCAAATTCGAAAATGCAGATTTGTTTGCCGAATGGAAATCAGAGAATGGTAAAATTATCAATTATTTGAAAACGGATCTTAAGGCGACATATCATATGAAATTAATAAAGCTTTTGAAGATACCAGCAAGAAAATTTGTTACCGTTTGGCAACATACCGGAACAAATGCCGGTAAAATTCAAAGATGTTTGAACGAAAATATGTGGATTGGCCACAAGCCTTTGTTATAATATATTTATCTTTATGTCCAAATATGCTAACTAAGTTCGTAAGGCTGTACAGGACCCAGTCGGAAAGCCGGCACATATCTCACTTAACGAGGCGTTAACCTTGCTTCTAGACAAGGATTTCGGCAATAATTTACGGAAACCTTTAAATGATTTTATTTTTATTTAAATCAAAATTTTGTTTAGTCGTGCAACGCCGTTTTCTTAAATAAAATATGCTTAATACGTTTTTTCACTATAACTAAAAATTTAAATATGCATTATTAAAAAAAGGGGCGGTGCCACACCCATTTTTATACCCGATACTCAAAATGAGTATTGGGGTATATTAGATTTGTGGTAAAAGTGGATGTGTGTAACGTCCAGAAGGAATCGTTTCCGACCCCATAAAGTATATATATTCTTGATCAGCATCAATAGCCGAGTCGATTGAGCCCTGTCTGTCTGTCCGTCCGTCCGTCTGTCCGTCCCCTTCAGCGCCTAATGCTCAAAGACTATAAGAGCTAGAGCAACGATGTTTTGGATCCAGACTTCTGTGATATGTCACTGCTACAAAAATATTTCAAAACTTTGCCCCGCCCACTTCCGCCCCCACAAAGGGCGAAAATCTGTGGCATCCACAATTTTAAAGATACGAGAAAACCAAAAACGCAGAATCGTAGAGAATGACCATATCTTTTAGACTACGGAATCTGAATTGGATCGTATTATTATTATAGCCAGCATCAAGAAAACAATTTCATTTTTTCTCGCCCTGTCTCTCTCTAACACACACGTAGCATAGGCGGCTTTGCTTAGAGTAAAACATTAGCGCCTAGATCTCAGAGACTATAAAAGCTAGTGCAACCAAATTTGGTATCCACACTCCTAATATATCGGACCGAGACGAGTTTGTTTCAAAATTTCGCCACACCCCCTTCCGCCCCCGCAAAGGATGCAAATCTGGGGATATTCACAAATCTCAGAGACTATTAAAGCTAGAGTAACCAAATTTAGTATCCGCACTCCTGTTAGATCTCACTATAAAACGTATATCTCAAAATTTCGCCGCACCCCCTTCCGCCCCCACAAAGGACGAAAATCTGTTGCATCCACAATATTGCAGATTTGAGAAAACTAAAAACGCAGAATCATAGATAATGACCATATCTATCAGATTACTGAATCTGGATCAGATCAGATCATTTTTATAGCCAAAAGGAACAAATCAATTTGCAGTGGCTACGCAGCGCCCGACGTCACGCTCAGACTGATTTTCTGTCTCTCTCGCACGCACTCTTTGTCGTGTCGTTTAATATTAGACGCCGCCTGCTGGAGGAGAGCCATACTGACTTAGTATCGGGTATAACCGTAGAGTTGCGGTCTCCGAAGCAACTCACAACGTTCCCCCTCGTTTTTCTTAAATCCATTTCTTATTGATTATATGTATCCAATACAAAAAACTAAATGAAAAAATCTTGTTCCGTTCGGGAGTTATTAATTTTGGCCAACAAAAGTGGTCGTTCGGACCATAGTGCGTCGCTGTGGCGTCTGTTTGACCCCCGTCTGGCCATTCCCTTCGTCATGGTTGTTGTTAGTTTGTGTGTTGGCGATTTGCTGCCTGTTTGTTGTTTTTAATTGAAAAGTCTCTTGTGTGTGTGTGTTTGTGTTTAATGTATTTATTGGCACTGTTCAGCCACAGACATGTATTTAATGAATATTAGGAATATACAGTTCAATCTCATACACAAATACTCATAAATAAAATTGTTCATGTCATTTCATGTAACTGAATATGACGACACGAAAAATACATTAGCAACTAAGAATAGACAATAGCACTTGTAAACTCGAACCCACCAAAAGGGATCAAGCAATAAACTATCTATTTTATTGCTGCCAAGTACCTAAGTAAATACACTGAAATATAACCCCCGCACAGAGTAAGTGTACCCAATCTAAAAATACACTCACAAGGAGCCTGTGCGGTCCTTCCCATAGAATAATAATTCCACTGTTAGCTATATAAGGAGATGCATTTGTTCAATAAAGTCAGTATCAGAAACAGTACCATAGCTGCCTGTCACTCATCTTCCATCGCAATCATCAGAGGCTGTCG